CCCCAACGTTATGTATAGTATGGGTATTTATACAATGAAAGAAAGAAAGAAAGAAAGAAAGAAAGAAAGAAAGAAAGAAAGAAAGGAAGAGAGACAAAACGTCATTTCCGTAATACTCACTGAGTCCCATTGTATCTAGGATGGGGCTGTCTCCTGCAACAAAACACATTGACATTCATTACTGTAAGATTATAAAAGAACTGAAATCTCGAAACGTTTCAGACCGATAGGTCCTCCGATTGACGATCCATTTTGTGTGCAAAGTATACTCTATTATATATAGTCATAGTTATATTTGAATATCTTCGAGTTCATGATACCGTTGGATTGACCGAAAGTGGAGTACAGTAAAAACCCGCGTATAAGAACCTAGGATTTTTCAAGTTAGCCTAAACAGGTTCTTATATAAATGGTACTTAGTGTTAAATTAGGCTAACTAGGTTCTTAATTAGGTTCTTAACTTTTGTTCAAGAAATAAAATTAAGTTTCATTTTAAGTTGGATTTTTTTATTCAATGAGGACATGTTCTTTACAGTAACCATGTACAGTTATAGTGTTTATAACATTATTGTGTACAGACTGTGTAATGAATATATTTTTGAAAAGATTGATTCTATTTCTTTCTTCTTTTTTATAAATAAGAACCTGTTTTAGGATTTTAGCCTAAAATGGTTCTTATGTGAAGGGTGCTTAAAAATGAAATTTTAGCCTAACAGGTTCTTAAATTTTAGGTTCTTATATGCGGGTTTTTACTGTATTATGTGAACTACTGCTGTTGATTGTCTACGTGTTTCGCTGCTAGGAATGAGGAAAGAGAAGCGAAACCTTCACGCCAAAGTCTCCTTAGATTACAAACTCTCGTACAAAAGGTTAACCTCGGATTGTCGAGGCAAGAATGATACGCAAATGGAAAGAAAAATTGCTCTGACTCCATTTTGGTTGTGTAGAATTAACTAGCCTTGCTTTTCTGTTTTATCTTTATTGTAGTGGTTTTCGTACGAGTAGAAAATAAAGGCAAATTTCTTCTGTAGTCGTGCAGGGTCATACTTGGCATTCGTGACCGTAATAGTATGTGTTGAATTGTGATTGGATTAAATATTCTATGGAAAGCCATTTCAATGTTACGGTATGTCGTACCATTTAAGTGCTGCGAGTAAGTAAATGACAATGGGAAGCCATTTCAATGTTACGGTATTTCGTACCATGTGAGTATGTACCGTAACCGTGTTGTTATCGAGTGAAATATTCGAATAAAAACAATAGAAAACCATTTCAATGCCACAGTATTTCTTATCATGTTAAATTCCAGGCAAGTCATACAAAAACCGCTCACTGATTTGTAAATTCAAATACTAAAATAAAATCTAATTTTGGAAACTGACTCACTCGTAAAAATAGTAACGACCGTGAAAGCCATCAAAGTGTTACTATAACTATTTATATTATTTTGAATCAATGAACATTATTATTTATCGTCTTTAGGCTATCTTAACAGCTTAAACCCTGTTTTTACGAGTCCAATTTTTCAAGAAAAAAGTGTCTTTTTGTGTGTATTATTGTGATAAAAAGACCAGGCTTAAGTGGGTGAAGGTGATGGTCAGCCAAGCCTTACCAGCATACTTGAGTGGTACTTGTCCTTAACGTCTGCTCTTAATCAACTGCGTTTTTTATTTGTGCTAGAATTTTTTGGGCAAAGTTTTGCGAAATTGTGTAAACTAGTCGTAGTGTTTCATGGTCATATATAACACACTCATTAAAGTTCCCAAGAAAAACTTTTCTTTCAAAAACCTTTTTCAAACTGCTTTGTTTTCGAGCGCCTTCGAAATCTCAGCGCTCCATCATTGTGAAAAGTCTAATGATAATTTTATCAAAGTCAATGATATTCTTGGTGAATAAAAGGGAACTTTGCGAGAAGACTGATTTACGTTGATAAAACTCTGTGCGGTAAGATCGAACTCGTCACACTTAGCAATTATATAGTAAAGAAATAAAATACATAGATAATATATTCTTACGATATGTAGCCTTTTCTCCAGTCAATGTCTCGTAAAGATTCGGGTTGATAAGCTGTAAGACATCTTTAAAATGCTTGAAGCCATTTTCTCCTTTAGTTTCGATGATATCCAGCACCTTACAAGCTTTTTGCTCTCGTGTCTTCTCCGAGCGGACCAGGTCGTAGTCATTTCTATCAAAGACGCTCTTGCTTAGTAGATATTCCATTAACAATGGACGTTCGACTTGTAAGTGCTGAACTAGATGAAAACGGTTTCGAATCAGGATTTCCAAGGGGTCTTCATACTCCGCCATTTTAGTGAACTGGTCTCTGACAATATTCTCGATCTGCGTTAAAAGTCAATACATGCAACCAGACAAACAATTTGCGATCCATCCACGTCTAGATAGATGTGACAACATTAAGTACTTGACTTGGGTTTCTAAATTTAGCATAACTTCCGCGTTGGATGATTGGTTAAGCGGATATATTATTCAACATGTCAGCGGTCGTCAGATCTAGAGGGAGATGGCTCTCTAAGACTAGGATATAGAAACAGGGGGGCGTCCTATACATTTGTAAAAGTTACCCCATTGAATTGAGCCTTTGATAAGGTATGTGCTATTGAAAATAGTTAACATGACTTTTGACCCCCCGTCTGTCCCACCGGGATGACGTTCTCATCGCAGTAAGGAATGTATTTGATTAGATTTGAGGGCAAAGATGCTAGTTACTGGATAAACTTATGCTACGTAAAAGATACTTGATTTGCTATGATTTAACCAACTAAAAATAAAGCACTGACTTACTATCTGGGACTAAAAAGTCAAGTTAAGATTCTTGTAATGAGAAGAGAAGAATGGCATCTGCTCCAAAGCGGAGGAGAAAGGGCACCGCGAGGGAGGGAGGATGGGGGGATGGGAGGGGAGGGGAGGGGGAAAGAGAGAGACAGGAGTAAATGGTAAATGTGTGGTATACGGCACATTTATTTTTCACAGGTTAAAGTCAGGAGAGAAGCAACGAATATACGCATGTAGAGGGCAAAAGTGAAAATGCCAATTCTTTCCTGCTTTTCTTTTTCAGTTCAAAAAATGCCATTGCATCACTATATATACTCTCCTGACGAATCTGGCCTCCTCGTGGTCCCCCTACTCTTTACGGACAAGGAAAAAAAGGAGACAAATAAGATCAAAGAAAAGAAACTGTAAAGACAAAGACGACATAAAATAGCTCTTCCTTTTTATCTAATCTTCTCAAAAATGTAGTTTTCGACTTGTGTTTTCATTGTTTATCCTAACCCTTTTATTCATAGAATCGAAAGTCTCGTAGGATAAAAATGCGTTAAAAATAACACACATGACATAAGCCCCAGCAATGTGAAAGCACAGTTCTTTAGTTTTATAAACTCACCATGACAGCTCTCTCTGAAGCGGAATGTCTTTAAGTTCCATCATTTGTTCGGCATTACTCGATTAGGAAAAAAAATAAAAACCAACCCAATCCGGAAATTAGGCTCATTTAAAAGTGAAATAATATGGTTATTTTTGTATTTAAAGAAAGAATAGCTTGGTGGTTAATCGAGGTTTAGTCTATTGTATTTTGTTATCAGGACGGCGCCTGTACGTGAAGCGATCCCTGCGCCTTCAGTACACGAAAATCTCGTGAGGATGTCCGCTTTAGCTTCACATACATGAAACTTCTTCCACGTTAATACAAAAAAATAGGAGTTTGTAGAGTGATGGCAAATACTAACCCATGAAATAAAAAATGCTAGTCGACATGTAATAGTCAAACAGACACAAAAGAAAACAAAATTAGGATCTCAGTTAATTGCATGCATGTCACGTCATAGCCGCCATCTTGGTTGACGATGACAAAGCATTCTTCACTATCTTCTCTTGTTACATCAACCAACATGGCGGCTGTTTCATTATTTTTTTAATATCTCGAGTGATTTTGAGTCATTTGGTTGTAGTTCACGGATTATTCCAATATCTATATCACGGGTTTAATGATTTCAAGGACATTGTTTATGAGCACCGGAATTACTAATTGAGAAATAGACCTTATTCGTGGTGTAACAATGTTTTCCCTTCCCAATTCAGCGTGAAAAACCTCAGGGGGAATGAAGAGCTATTGTTTTGAAACTCGTCGGTATATCATCGTTATTCCTTTCGTATCCTTTGGGATACTCATGGATTTTTCGAAGAGTAACAACAAAAGAAAATGAATCCCCTGGAGGTTGGGAAAACATTGTCACACCACGAATAAGGTCTATTGAAACTGAGAAGTTATTTCGATACCAAAATAAGGAATCATTTTAAAGTCTAAATAAAACAGTGAAAATAATCCCAAAAATGATAAATTAGAATAAAACGAATGGAAAAATAAATGAAAATAATTAAACTTCAATTCTCAGAGTGAAGTCACTAAACCCGTGCAATAGGTATTATTAGGTCCCGTCCACATTTGTTTTGCGGATACGGGTTGCGTCCACACGTGTCCTCAAATTTTTGTGACCGTATCCGCAAATTCTACGAAAACGGCACGTGTGGACGTTGAAAACGATTCGAATACGCTGCGTGTGGACGCGAACATTTTCGTATCCGCAAAAAAATATTTTTTCTTTTGTGTTTTTTGACTATAACACGTTCACTGACATTTTTTACTAGTATTTCACGGGTTAAATAGTAACTATATGAATATATTTAAGAAGTGTGAGAAGCATTCGCCTACGGCTCGTTCTTCTCCTTACACTTCTTTCATGCTTACGTCACTTCCTGCGTGCTGAACGGAGCATGGAAAAAGCTGTTTTAATTGTTAAGTATATTTGGTCCATGAAAAATGTTTTCAGATTAGAATGCAACACTTTTCCATGTATTATCGCCTTACTTATCAAACACGGAAACCTAAAATGCATTCTAGGAAAAGCCTTCGAAAATGCATTTTTAAGAAACCGGAGTTCGATCTTTTAATTGTTGACAGATAAAGAAAAACTCAGTATCGTTCAAGAGTCTGCGTTCTTTATGGTCAGCTTGAAGAATTGCTTGACGTCATAGCAAGCAAGTACACATGCGCAGAAGCTGAAGCGAACCAAGTACGCGATTCCACAGTGCTTTTTTCTTCAATAAATGGAATTGGGTCTTTCTTGGTGTTGCAGGATGTATTGTGTTCTGGTTTGGGTTAATTTCGTATTGCAATTGGTATTGTCTAGCTCCAAACTCATTGTTCTCAGCAGAAGTTCATAACTATAGTTATGAACTTCTGTTCTCAGCTAGTTTTTCAGCCTCAAAAGTATTTACGAATATCAACACAAAAGTAAAAAATGCACAACTTCAAGCACTCACTAGAATGCATGGATATTTTATATCTAATGAAGGCTTACTCTGAGCATGAGATAATTCGAAATTTTAACTGGGGTATTGCGATGGACATTCCTATTTATTCCCTACAACGAATGTCAACTATACATACTAATGTTCTCATTTTTATTTTGAACACCATTATAAACATATTTTGTATACAAGAGACTCTCTAGTATAACAACCAACACGTACTAGTCTAACGGGATAGTCTAGTTTAGACTCGTGTTTCTCGTAGTTATCTAACAGACCTTATTCGTTGCGTTACAGTGCTTTCCCATTTCAAACCACGTGTCATTCCCTTGAGTATTACGTCTTTGTTTAACGGTTGCGCATGAGAAGACACATGGATATGGGTACAACTCAAAGAATCTCATTCGAGGGAATGACACGTGGTCATGGGAAAAGACTGCAATGCAACGAATTAGGTCTACTATAAGCAACACTAATGGAGGTTTTGCACCATCACGTGACGGCAGCCAGGTTGGATGGCAGGAACAATACAATCGTTTTAGTCTCCCCGATTAGTAGGGTACTTGTGCCCGGCTAGAAGATAGAGACTTAAATAAAGTTATTATTATTATTATTATTATTACATAAAAATATATTTCAATTCCCCGAGGGCAAAGGGATTTTATTGTTCTGCGATGATGAAACCACAGGCAGCCCAAGCTGTATTATACGCGTGGGCACGTGATGGTGCAAAGCCTCTATTATGAACTAGTAACCAGTGAAGATCGAGAAAGCTTCAGAATTCTGAAACTTTTCTCTTGTCACCCAAAAGCATTGCATGGTTTCTGCCCAACGACGACATGGCTGCAATAAAACTCCACTATTGCATGTACATATGCACAACTAGTTTTTCTTTAAGACTCGACCAAGGAGTGAACACACAAACTCAACGGAGTTTATATTCAAAATCTACAAAATGATTCTATAAATATGTAGACACATTTACGCGGTCTTTTATGATAAACAACTAATTACAAATCATTCCCTTTGGGATAGACTTTTTTCCTATTGACAATAGACTTACTTTGTCGAAGTTTTTATACATCATTGTTTTATTATTTAAGAATGAACTCAATCAATACACCTCTTTAGCTTCGGCGTAATGTTTTCCCATTTCAGACCACGTGTCATTCTTTAGAGTATCATTCCTTTTTTTGCTGACACACGGTGCAACATTGCACGCAAAAGGACTGTTGCAGCGTGTGTCTACCCCTGAAACGTGTTGCACGCAACGTTGCATGCAACAAATCTAAAGTTGGATCGAGCTCTACTCTTGCAACATTGTGCGCAACAAACTTTCATGTGAGCATGGCTGCAACATTACCTGCAACATTTTAAAACTTCCAGCCAATCAGCTTGCCTCAAATTCATAACTGCTGACCAAATATCTTAACAAAGCAGGCTGACACAAGCGATGTTGCATGCTTTTGTTGCAATGTGTGTCACCCCGATTCAAATTTGTTGCTTGAAATGTTGAGTGTAATGTTGCACCGTGTGTCAGCACCTTAAGGAGTTGTTCAAGAGAAGGCACATGAATATGGATACAACTCAAACAAAGAATCTTATTCTCAAGAGAATGACACGTGGTCTGTAACGGGGAGGCATTACGCCCAAGGTAACGAGGTCTATTCTCGTAACACACGGATTCGTAAAACATGTGAGATGAGATACCTTTAGCACTGCTAAAGATACCTTTATCTTTACCTTTAGTTTACTGCTAGGCTCCGCAAACCCCAAACTGCAGTTCAGTGTCAAGCGTTTTCCTTCAAACATTCAACATTTAGCAAGGCGTGATAACAAAGTTGTTGCTTGAAGAGCCGCCATATTAAATTTCATTCATGCCTAGTGTTTCTCCATGTTTGGGTATGTTTTGGGCCTCATCTCTAACAGTTAGCGGCTAACGTTGAACCAGATGCTCAAGGTCTTTATTAATGTAAAGTGATGTTTATGTACAAAAGGTTTGACTTCAGGGCTTTAGCGATCAGTATCGCTACCCAAGGACTTGCGTGACGAGGTATCCACATCAGGAGAAGCAGGCGCCGAAGAACTTCGCGGTCTTTCGCTATCTTTGAGTCGAATGGCCATAGCTCGTGGCCTGAATGGCTGCGCAAAAGACGGCGATAACAACGGTCCCTCGATCTCTTCGTCTTCCTTGTCGTAATATTGATCATAAATCGACAATACCTCCTTAGTCTTTTGAAGAGAATCGAAAGACTGCGACGGTGTAAGCTCTGGATTGTTCTGTAGACGTAAACGATTTCCAAACCCGGATGGCGAAGAAATACTTGTACGAAACGGTGGCTTCTTGACCGCTTTTCGGCATTTAGGAATAGTTATGTTACCATTGATGTCGGTATTTTTCGCCGTAGAGGATTCGTAGGCCACACTGTCCGACATCGCCTTGGGTGGTAAAGGGGGCAGGCTTGCAGTTTTCCTGTTTGACGTGATGTCGCTGGTCGGTGATGTTACGGGCTCGGATACTGGACTACATCCATTTGTACTACCGATAGAGTCAAACATACAAGCCAAAGACAAATGCGATGGAGGAACCTTGAAAATATTTCTATTCCGCTCCAGGCTTAAACATTTTTGCGCTTCAGGTGAAAGAGCCTTCTTTTGTGGAACAAGTTCTTCAAGCATACGATCAAGGCTGTGACAGCCGTATTGGGGCACCTTTGAAGGGGTATACTGTTCTCCTTTTCGTTCTCCTTTTCCAATTCGTTTCTTAAGGCTTTCAATGATTCGGGAGGTCTTACGATACATTTTCCAGTCGAAGGAATCATCACTGTCGGCGGAGGAAGACCCCTCACCCGATGATGCATCGTCTTCTCGTGGTAGGTCGCATTTCTTGTTGCCTTTCAATTCAGGTAACCTCTGAAGCACGAAACATGAGCAAAAAGAATTAGGCTATTTATTGAATATCTGTTATCACTTTGAAGAAAAGATGGCATAATAGTTCCGGCATGGTCTAGAACATGGACTGGACTGGACCAGAGAAAACATGGACCGGAAGTAGAAAATATGGATCGTGGTAGAAAATATGGACTCGAGGTCAGACGCATCTGGATACCTTATCTGTATGTCACATTGACGATCGTCATAATGTAGCAAATGTTTTATCTTTTTAGATACAATTTCAAAAATTCATACGCAAACTATTCGTGCAGGTTTTTATTTTAGTAGGGTGATCGTCGACATACAGATAAGGTATCCAGATGCGTCTGACCGAGTCCATATTTTCTACCACGGTCCATGTTTTCTACGTCCGGTCCATGTTTTCTACGTCCGGTACATGCTTACTCGGGTCCAGTCCAGTCCATTTCTAGACCATGCCTAATAGTTCCGGCTTCCAAAATGCATATGCTGACTTTGATCACAAGGTACCATATGTTCATTCCCATGAGGCGTAGTTACATACATGGTAAGATACAGTACGTCTACAAAGTTGTCGTATTTATTCCCTCTCATGCGAAAACCGGGGTGCTTACCATTTACCATGAAAAACTGGAAATTCCAGTTAGAAAACATTCCGATCAAAATGTTCCAGAAAACTCGGTCTCAGTTCTGATTGATGTAATACGATTTTCCCGCTCTTTTCGGTTCTTCCGGTAGACGCGTGTACCATTTTTCGAAAGTCAAAGTTTCCCGCTCTTTTCTTAGCATGAGCGAATGAATTTCCAACCGGATGGATTGGTTTAAATGGTAAGCACCCCCGGTCTATAAAAGTAACGTACTCACCACTCTAAACGGTTGAGCCTGACTCTCAGGCGATTCCCCCTCCAGTTTTGTCTTTCTCAGTTCCTCCATCTCGTGTTCCATTTCAGTTAGTCTTTCTTGCAGATTTTGCAGCTCCTCGCAAACATTCTTGTATTTGTCTTCAAAGTGCTTGCAGTGAGTAGTCTGTCTAGAGATGGTTTCGTCGCGAGTTTTCAACACCTCTGTGTAATGTTGAATAGACTTGTCACGCTCGGCTTGCGCTCGGTCACGCTCTACCATAATGTCTTTTCTAAAGATTACAAAAAAAGGAAAAAGATATTAGAAGAGATTGAGCTAGAAAGGAAGTTATGTGTTATGAAGGCCGAATTGTTTGATGTGGATCTAATCAGTGAAAGGTCACAACGATTTGGTGATTTCATAAACTTTGTCTGCACTTTTTTCCGCCATAATTTCTACTGTGTTGATATTATTTATTTTTCTTTTGTCTTATTCTCATCATATAAACACTCCTTTCTACCACCTCTTTCTCTTTTACTCCGACGAAGGACTAGCGTCCGAAACGTCTTTAAGTCTTTTTATCTTTTCACGGTGTATAATCCTTTTATCCTTTTATCATTACTGTTTCATTAGAAACACCGATGCAGCTCACACTATTTTTTAGCTAGTTATCTCTTGATATTATTTACCAATGAGTATAATACATTTCCAGCCTAGAAGGCAACATGCGACATGCGACATGCGACATGCGACATGCGACAAGCAACATGCAACAAAACCTTCTTTCACTTTCGAGGTTTTATTGACGGGTTTATTGACCTTCCATTTTTTAGCCCATGAGAAGAGGTCATTGTTTCCTTTTCGTAAGGTTTATGCTTTCCTATACCCATCTGCGATTACGAGGCATGTTATATATTTTACAACAACCACTCCCCACGCAGGGCTCTTCCGTGAGGTTCCCTCCACATGCACTACCACTACATTCTAAATTTACAACATACGACACTCAACTTACATCAGTGTTGCTTTTTTAGGAGGGAGATAACGGCGTTACGGCACAAGTTGAATGGAGCATTGCAGCGTGTAACCCTACAGCGCATTTTGAAAAATGTTGCGAATCAAGTTGCAGCAATTTAGTTGCGAAAAGTAGAATTCGTTTCTACTTTTGGCAAAGATTGCGTCTCCGTTGCACCGTGTAGACACTCTTGCAACTTGTGTCGCAACGCTGTTGCGAGACAAGTTGCAGAGAAAATTTTGAAAAAAAAGTGTGAAAAAAAATCTGAGAATGTGACAAAAAAAAAAAAAAAAAAAAAACAAAAAAAAACTAGAAACATAAGAAAAATAGAATAAATAAATCAAATAAAAATCAAGTTATTAAACTATGATTTCTTACCTGCTTTCTGCCAGTAAATCTCGTTGTTCTCTCAGTTGCTTCACTGCTTCTTCCGAGTCAAAGTATCTCTGTTTAGCAGAAGCGAGTTCTCGTGTTTTCGCTCTGAGTTTAAGCTCAAGTTCGTCGACTTTTTCCCGCAGTTGAGAGCAGTCGGCAGCGATGATTTCATGGCTTTCTCGAGTCTGTTCAAAGTCTTCTTCAACGATATCGTAACGAGTCTTAAACACCTCGATCCACTCCTTCAACTTGTTCAAATCTTTCGCAGCCTCTTCTCTTTCAATTTTCAAGTTTTGGTTTATGAATTGCATCTCTCGATATTTCATTTTGATGTCGTTGTATTTTTGGAGGTCGTTCTTGTGAAACTCGAGTTTCTCGGAGAGTTTCATGGACTCTGTCCTCTGGTGATCATAGTTAATCGTCACAAGATTGAGTTGGTTGTGAAGCTCTTGCTTTGCTTCTTCCGTTTCATGGAGTTGGTTCTTCAAGCTGACGATTTGTTCCTGTGTGGACAGAAGATTCATCTGCAAAGCGATAATGTAAGTGTTTCTTTCCTGTAAGTCTCTATGTAACGACTGCATTTGGACGACAACAGACTCTTTAGCGCTGTTCACTGAAGACATTGAAGACATCATGTCGGTGGCCGTTTCCGCCTTTTCTCTTTCAAGTTCGTCGATTCTTCGGTGGCTTACTTCAAGGGCAATCTCTGCTTCGTTCAAATGTTTCTCTAGCTCATTCTTCTCCTTCCTGACCTCTTGATATCTCAGCGATAAATCATTTAATTCTGTGATAGTTCTCTGGAGATGGTTGGTCAAAATATCCAGATCAGGAATGTAGCTTTGGTCTAGAAAAAAGCAATCATGAAAAAATGGTAAACACTTTTGAATATAGATACGATAACGACAGGAACATCAGTTCGATATTATTACATTATATATTCTATTTGTTATCTCATTTTCATTGCGCATTCAGGGAAAGTCCCGGTCACAACATAAACTAATCCTGATCGATTCTCCATTCCCGGAAACGCAAGTAAAGCAAAAAATATTGTTTTGTTGCATTTTCATGTTGCATATTCATATTAAAACCCAAAATCATCATCACAGATACTGAATATCAACTCGACCCAGAAAGAGGAAAATTCAGCGCCCGAAATAGTTATTTTCTAGGTCACTCGGGGATTCCAGTTCTCGCTTGAATTCACTCAAAACAATATAGACACTCAAGATGACATCATGAATTATATTGGGATTTGTTTCTATCATTAAGCTCAAAAAGGCAGTGAGGTGGCAATTTTATGATAGTTGTATATTTTCTTTGTGTTTTGCTGTGGTCCATAGCGCTGAAATACGTTTAAACTCGCTAAGCTGTTTATAAACAAATTCTCAGGTCAACAAGAAGTTATTCATTTAACTTGTGAATCATATCTTAAACGTTAGCAAACAAACTTCTTGAAAGAGAACAACGTCTCAAAATGCAGTCTCATGATGTAAAGATATTTGGAAAAAGTTTTGGGTAAGTAAAGATTTAAATTGCAGTATTTACATCGCAGTATTGCTGTGCTCAAGATTTGCATTTACTTGCATATAAAGACCATTTATTTGCAACGTGTACAGCATTGCATGTATTTCCACGCAGCACTGACAACAGTAATTCTCAATAAGGACGAGAAATGATAGTTTGATTCCTGTTGAAGGAAGGATAACTTATAAAAACAGTTTAGTAGACATGTTATCGTTGTCATATAGTGAACTATATCTACGACCTTTGGGAAAAGATGTAAGTTAAAAAAAGATTGACACGAGTTTTGGAGACAGATTTTGAGAGTAACATTTCCGTTAGCTTAGCGACCGCACATCGACCAAATGTAAGTGACCTCAAGTCAGATGCGCTCATCAACAGAGCCTCCAGGAACTTCCCTTCCCTCAACGGCTTAGTTGTGCACAAACCAATTTAGTGACCCTCTGATCATCAATGTTCCTGACATCGAACAAACGCGAGCGAGCGAGAGAGAGGGAAAAAAATAGAATAAATATATAAAAAGAAAATAAGAATAAAAGAATGAATGAAAGAAATACAGAGAAAAATAAAAGCGGAATCAAAGGAAGAAAGAAAAGGAAAGCGAAAAGGAAGTTAATGATCTAACTCAGCTTATAAAATCGTTATATTAAATTATGCAAACGTTTCCCAACAAAAACACATTCCTTCCTTATGGCGAAAATTCAGGAAGTATAGCGAAATCAGTAACTACTCATTTTTCTCAAGATTAGCTACATATTCCTTAGCAATTYTTGGCTTATTTCTATGGCGTTAAAAGTACGTTCTATAAGTTCTATAAGTTTTATAAAACAAAGCTAAAGCAAAAGCAATTACGTTTTGCTTGAAGGACCTTTTTCATATATACAAGAATAAAAATATTCGATTAGTATCATAGCGTTACCTATAACTCGTTCTTCTTTCTTTTCAAAGTCTATCCAGTAAAGCTTCAAGATTTGAGGAAGAATTTGTGTATGAAATCATCGACAACTCAGCATCGCTTTTGAGGTCGTACTCTCTTCTACATTGCTGTCTGTCTTGCAATGCACTTAGAGGAAGTGAAGAAAGGTCGTAATAGCGACATTTCAGAGCTTTCAAGCGTGTTTGAACGCAGACGACAAAGCATCAAGGCAATAAAAGCTAAAACGGTGCTTTATCGCTTCATCGCGCGATATAAAAATTGCTGTCGTGCGATTTAATTATCGATGAAGTACGTCCAACGAATATAAGCATTTTTCAATGCTTCTCCTCCAACTATCCATCCTTCTTCAAGCGAATGTAAGTTAGCTCTCGTTTCATTTTTATTGTAGCTTAAATTTATCCGCTAAACTGGAAAAAAAATTCGAAATAAGGCAATCCTGTATTTCTCAAAAATAAGAACTTGAAGACGGCATCGGACACTTTACTGACCTCACAATGCCTCAAACACTGTTAGGTTATCTGGCTAGTTTAACGACAAGTTATTCCAGTTAGCCTGTGCCATTTTCTAGTCGTCGAATAATAATTTTTCACCTTAATGTGTAATAATAATAATAATAATAATAATAATAATAAAACTTTATTACTGTGTCACGTCGTTCTAGCTTATTACAAAATAAACTAATTGGGGACACCTATCTAGAACCCTATAAAACCAATAAAAATCTTATCCCATGTTTCCAACCCTTAAAACAACCCCTATATGATATTTACAATTATCTAATTTACGGTAAT